TTTTTTTTTGATTTATTGTAGAGATGAGGTCTTGCCAAGTTTCCCAGGTGGGTCTTGAACCTGTGGGCTCAGGCAATCCACTCACCTCAGCCTTCCAAAGTGTGGGATTACAGGCTGAGCCACCGAACCCGGCTAACATTTGAGTTTTTAGAAAAATACAAAAACCATGTAAGAAGGACAGTCAGATATCTAACTTGTATATAATGAGAAGAAATTCTAAGTCTTGAATCCTGTGAAGACAGGGCTTTAAATGTGAATTTTGGAAAATAATTTCCCCTTGAGAGCTTGAACAATTTGAATTAAATTAATAAAATATAAAGTTGTAAAACACCATTTGTTCATTTAATTTTTACACATCATTTGATGTATTCCCACATTACTCTCAATAATCACTGGATTCATATTCTAAAATCAAGGAAATTTCATGATTCCGTCACTACTGTTTGCTCAGTATACACCAAATCATGTATTGATCTTTATCAAGACAAAAATAATCTCTGAAATTCCCTTTAGTGTGCTGCTTGTAGCGCCTGTCACAGAGTAGGTAAAATAATAGGAAATGTGAGGTAGGAGACTATGCTGCCGTGATGCAACTTTTTTTTTGAGTTTAAGTCACACTCTGTCACCCAGCTAATTTTTTGACTTCTTATAGAGACACAGTCTTGCCATGTTGCCCAGGCTGGTCTCAAACTCCTGGGCTCAAGCAATCCTCTCATCTCAGCCTCCCAAAGTGCTGGGATTACAGGCATGAGCCACCATGCCTGGCCCATTTTATTTATTTTTTGAGCCAGGGTCTCACTTTATTGCCCAGACTAGAGTGCAGTGGCACAATCATGGCTTACCACAGCAGCCTCAACCTCCTGGACTCAGGCAATCCTTCTGCCTCAGCCTCCCAAGTAGCAGGAACCACAGGCATGTAACACCACATCTGGCTAATTTTTGTTTTGTTTTGTTTTGTTTGACTTAGAGTCTCACTTTGTTGCCCAGACTGGAGTGCAGTGGCACACTCTCAGTCACCTCAGCCTCAATCCGCTGGGCTCAGGCAATCCTTCCACCTCAGCCTTCCAAGTAGCTAGAACTATAGACACACGCCAACACGCCGGCTAATATTTTTATTTGTTGTAGAGATGAGGTCTCACCAAGTTGCCCAGGATGGTCTCAAACCCGTGGGTTCAGGCAATCCTCTCACCTCAGCCTCCCAAAGTGCTGGGATTATAGGTGTGAGCCACCACGCCCGGCTGGCTAAGTTTTTATTTTTCATAGACAAAGTCCTGCTATGTTGCCCAGGCTGGTCTCAAACTCCTGAACTCAAGCAATCCTGTGGCCTTGGCCTCCAAAAGTACTGGGATTATAGGCATGAGCCACCATGCCCAGCCTGAACTTAAATTTAAATACATCATTTGCTTCTCATCTTGCTAACAATCACAACTCCAAATGCTAGTCTCCATGTATAGATCAGATGTGAAGGAGGGGGAAGACAACAAATAAAGGGAAAAGGCAGGGTAGCTACAACCTTACCTTCTTTTTAATACCTCCCTCTTCTCTATGCGATTGAACAGTTCTTGTTCTCTCTCTTTTTCTGTCATCTGTTCCAGACGGGCCCTGTCTTCCTCATCTCCCATGAGGTCCTCTCCATAGCCATCATGGAACTCTTCATCTTCTGAGGAAGAGTCTGAATCTGAACTGGAAGAGGAGCTGTTGCTATCAGAATCTGACACTTCACCTGCAACAAAGGCCCAAACACAAGATCACACTTTACTACAGAAGACTGAGATCACAGGTGACTCTACAGTGTTGATAACCATTTCCTAGTTTAGGCTGGAATAAGAAACCAATTTGTTATTTTTAATTCAACTTTTTTTTTTTTTTTGAGTTGGAGTCTCATTCTGTCACCCAAACCGGGAGTGGCCACTGCAGCCTTGACCTGCTGGACTCTGGCAATCCTTCCGCCTCAGCCTTCCAAGTAGCTGGAACTACAGGCACGCGATACCATGCCCAGCTAATTTTTGATTTATTGTAGCAGTGAGGTCTTGCAAAGTTGCCCAGGTGGGTCTCGAACCCGTGGGCTCAGGCAATCCACTCACTTCAGCCTCCCAAAG